GACCTCTGGTTGACTCCTGAACTGGACCAGGCGCCCTTTGTTTTCAGAAGTCAGAATCCAGTAAACAAATCTTCTCCAACTCCAAGCGCCCCAGTCCATGGCTCGCACATGGCCACTTGATTCATCTTCACTTAATCCCCCCCTCAGTTAACCTCCTTTTATTATCACCTTCTCAGGTTTTGCCCTTTAATGGATCTTTAAATAGTTTTCTTTTTCGCTTGCTCACAGACATTCATTAAGCGTTTGACTTCTTTTTGCTTTTTGGTAAGGTCACTCCGATCACTTCAAACTCTTATCTGTAGCATTCCTTCATTATCTCTGCCACATTTAAAATCTGCTTTCTTTTGTTTGTTTTTCCTTATATCATGCCCTCAAACCTAAATACTGATGGATGGGGGGTGACCAGGGAGGAAAAGCACACTTGTGTGGTGTTAGTATAATGACATCAGGCTAGTGTGTAACAACAGCCTGTAAAGTTTGTTTGTTTTGGTGAATATTTAGTAATGTATGATGTCATGGATCGTCATATTAAAACTAGAGACTTGTACTCGGGAAGTTGGAAGGCAGGAACTTTCTGTTTAAGGTCGTAGGCGCAAGAGACTGGTAGTTTACACTAGTGTAATCCGTCGGAAATAAATGTGACTACTCCAGAATAAATGGTTAATAATTTACGCCCTATCTGGGCTACACGTCTCATTCTTTTTCTTAAACTTGACATTTTAGGCAGTGTTACTTTGAGAGCGAGCCCCATTGAACTCATCAGGATTTACGGTGGAGTAAACACGCATGAAATCGGGCTGCCCAAAGTTCTGTTAAAAGTAGGTGCCCTGTTTTTAGAAATTGCTATGGAAAAGTCTACCCTGACCCTGAAACATCTTGGTGTGATTCGCCACTGAAACTTTTGAGAACTTTGCTTCTCGTTCATATGCGAGGCCTGCAGAGGTGTAGAGAATACGGTAACCTCTGAGAGGTGTAGAGGTGTAGAGAATATAACCTCTGAGGAACTGAAACCAAATGGGCCGAACAGTCATCACTGAACACTCACAGAAGCTGTGCTCGAAACGCAAGCGGAGCACGTTCTTCTAAAAGCAGTAGTGTCTTGGAAAGAAAACAATAAAAGTTGTAGCCAGTTTTCTGGCGGTTTTTAGTTTTTTTTTAAGCTCGCTGCTCCCTTTCGTCTCCTTTGCACAGTTTTCTAAAAGAGTAAAGAGGCGACCGCAGCGAGACTGTATACTTCAGAGTCCTAGCACCGATAGGAAGTCAGTAATACAGTGAATTCAGATCCCAGGTTTTGGGTTGAATCGGGTCAGTGCTGGGGAGCGGGCGGGCGGCGGTTATAGTTGCATTTCCTAAAAAGGCCATCTAGTTGTGAAGTGTGGGCCGTTGTAGTCAAAAGCACAAAACCCAGGGCTGCCTCGGACAGTTTACGGAGATAGTGAGGAACTGTGCGTTTACTTTTTCCTTTTAATAGATGATTAATTGCCGCCCGCTTAGTCTTTTTATGACCAGTATATTGCAACTCGATACGGCCACGGTGCAATTTCTCACAGCAAGTTCCCGCTGTAATAACTGTTTGCTAATTGTTTTTTTTTTAAAAAAAAAAAAACCCTTATCCAGAAGGAGCTTTGCGCAAACAATTTGTACTACTGTAATTACACTGTAAAAGTGTTTTAGCCTCGATTGGGCTGAATTAATCTCAGAAAGGCCTGGGAATGACACTGGGTACAAGATGAATAGCTCCCTTCCTTTCCCTTTCTCCCCTTCTAAAGAAGCATTGCACGGCTAGGAATGCTTTCCTGAGAGAAACTTAGGAAGCCAGGGGGTCTCGCTTCTGTTATGGAGAAGCAGCACACAGGAGAGTGAGAGGTCGTGGTGCAACTGGGGTTTAAAGTGGGCAAAATTGCCTTACCTGGGAAGCTTTAATTTTTCCACCAGCCCCCGCCGCTGGTGCGTAAGGCTGAGGTATCTCACCGCGAGGTGGTGAGCCCAAAAATTGTGTGTGTGTGTGTGTGTGTTTGGAGTTTCTTTCTGAAAGAAGTTTGAAACCTCCTAGCACAGATGTATCAGGGGAACAATATTTGCTACCATGCAGCAGATTGCTCGTTCTCTCTCTCCCTTTCCTTTCTATGTTTTTTCTTAAATAGAAGAATGCTTCTCCCCTCAGGTGAACCCGGTTCTTGGAAATATGAGCGTGGAGCGATTACTCCGCCACTCTTCGGCCACATCCATAAGGCTGCTTGGATACTTGGTGTGACTGCACGGCTGTTGGATTTTGCGCTTTATTCCCCCACTCGTCGGACTGATCTGATAGATGTCAGGCCTTCCTTTTCTTTCCCTTCATACTCAACTTGTTATTATCTCCATCAGCCAACAACAGGTATCCGTCTCTAAAGAACAGGGAGCGGAAAAATAACAGACCATTGTACGGGGATTTGTGGAAAAAAGAGACCCCTTATTATTGTGAATCTTCGCCTTCAACTCCCAGAAGCGTCTGTGCGCCGTCCCAATTCTGTTTGAAAAAGCAAATTTAAATCAACCCCTCCCGTCCTTTAGAAATACATGTTTTGTGGCCCAAAAAACCTTAATAGCAACACGCAGGAGACAGGAAGCGAGGCTGTGCTGTTGGAAGCAGCAGCAAAATATTTCTGTTAACGTTTCACTTAAGCGTCTTCTTTGGCCCGAACCAAACCTTATGTGATTTATTTCTGTTGAAATATATTGTTAGAGCATGTGAGAAGAAAACCATAACATTGCCACGGTGCTAGATCAGAGAGGACAGAAATTCTTCATTCGAGGAATGAATTGGAACAACAATAACAAACTTTTTTTTTTAAATCTGGAACACTTCATGATACCTCTGCTGCCTATAAAAGGTACCAAACTGCAGCTTTTACTGTCACGTGTGAACAGGATGCTGTGCTCGGGAAGACGCCTGGAGATGCGATCCCCGATCCACCTCACCTCTTGCCTTTCTGGAATCACTCGGTGCAGGGGGAAGACATCTGTGTGAACCGACCAAGAAAAAACATTATACCCAGACAAAGTGACAGAAGTGTAAACCCGTCACAAAGCCCACTCCAAAACAGAAGAGAGAGCACTGGATCTCACATTTTACCCCCTTTTTAAAGAGGCAAACCAAGTAAAACCAAGATAAAGCCTTTGCCCACCCGCAATCTCTGTTTAATAGTAGCAGCGGTCGTATTCCCCTTTTGGATTAAATCCCAACACAGGGCAAGGCAAATGAGCAATCTTTCTGAACTTATCAACTTCGGTTCTCTGTGAAGTGGCTTTTGGGGGAGGAGGCGCTCCCCGCAGATCGAAGCTCCCTGCTGATCGATTATTTGATAATTGATTTCTCCCAAAAAACCAATCCATGCCTGGCTTTTCGAGAAAAGGTCCTGATTGGATTACAGCTGCTCCACTGCTGCCTGCGGCGGGGGGAGATTCCCCTTCTATGAGGTTTTCAAAAGGAATGGAGGGGAGTCGGTGGGGGCGGGGAAACCCTGCCTGGCGGAGATCTCTGCTCTGGGGGGGGGAAGATGCAGCAGGTTTGGAGACAACTCCTTGCGCAAACGCCTCGCCTCGGACGGCGGAGGTGCAGTTCCAGCCAAGCAGGCTGGTTTGCTCCCCTAATAGGGCTTTCTTCTCCCTGAACTCCGCTTCCTTTTGTATTGGCTTGCGAGAGGGAGAAAGGGGGACGCGTAAAAGTCCTGCAATTTCAAGGCGCCAGGCAGAGGTTCGCTTTTTCAGAGGGAAGAGTAAATAGAAATTAATCACTTTATTTCTAGACAAAGGAAATGGCCACTAGCTTCGGAGGTTGCTAACAGTGTAGTGAGGGGTCGCTGCTGGATGTGCCCTAGATGTGACACGGGAGCGGGGAGTGGGCGATCTTCTGCACCAGACACAGCCCCCCCCCAATCTCGTGTGTGTGTGTGTGTGTGTGTGTGTGAGAGAGAGAGAGAGAGAGAGAGAGAGAGATGTCTTCAGAACTGACCTCGGTCCCATTTGATGAACCTAAGCAGAGCCGCAGTCACAGAAGCAGATTCACTGCAAGAAAGAAAGAAAGAAAGAAAGAAAGAAAGAAAGAAAGAAAGAAAGAAAGAAAGAAAGATTGGATAGGAAAGATTGGATAGGAAAGGTGGGAAAAGCCCTAAACGTTGACGAAGCAGAGGAGAAAAAGATAGATAAATTCCGTGCAAAAGAAGACACACACACACACACACACACACACACACACACACACACACAGCCTTCAACGCCACGTTGGGGTGAGTTTAAAGAGAAACCACCCAACGCCAGAAAGCCCATTTTGTCTTGACTTTCTCCCCTGTTAGTGATTCAGAAGGTAGCAAAGGAGAAGCTGGAAGTGAGGGGCGGGGGTAGTCTTCCGACGAGCAGGAGGAACCGCGCTCCAAGGAAAGCCTCCCAAACATTCGTGAATCTTTTCAAACATCAGGGAAGGTCTGCCACTTGAGGCTTCTAGCAGGCACAACCGATGCCCACAGGGAAATATCACAAAAAATAAAGGGAGGTTGTTTTAATGCACGTGTTAATAATAAGTGTTCTCATCTTAACTTCTGCTGAGAAAACGTAGAGGAGGCGGCATCTTTCCAGCATGCATTTATGTGGAGCTGGACTCCAGAGAAGTCCTCCATCCTCCAGTTAACTTTTTCATTTCCATGAGGACGCTGTGCCAGGACCCCAGGAGGAAAGTACTGCGAAGGCCTAGTGGAAAATGCATTGGAGACTGGACCCAAGACCAAAGAAACAAAAATAGAACCCCCCCCCAAAAAAAAACCAAACCAAACCGCAGGGAAAACTTCTTTCACTTTTTTTAAAAAAAAGACGCGGCCTTCCCGGTCCCTTATGTTTCGCCATCTTCCTCCCCAAATGTCTGAGTGGATCTTCTGTACGCCTTGGTTCCCACTCTCCTCGCACCCACCCCAGCACACGAAGTTGCTTTCCCCCCCCTTAAACTGCACTGCGAAGGACTGGCCTTCAAGCTGACCCTTTTCTTTTCCCTCCTGTCTATTATGCAGTACGACGATTTACCCCATTACGGTGGGATGGATGGAGTGGGGATCCCGAGCACCATGTACGGGGACCCCCATGCCGCCAGATCCATGCAGCCCGTCCACCACATGAATCACGGTCCTCCGCTTCACTCCCATCAATACCCGCACACAGCTCACACCAACGCCATGCCCCCAAGCATGGGCTCCTCCGTCAATGACGCTTTAAAGAGAGATAAAGATGCCATTTATGGGTAGGTACAGCTAGCATCAGGTTCATTAGCTTAAAACGTGCTCGTTCCCCGTTCTTCCCCTCCCTGAAGAAAGCCACCGTTTACTCGAGACCGTAGGTAAATAATCCGGGGCAGCCGAGGCTTTGCATGGGGATGACGGACCAGGGTGGGTTGATTTCAGTGCTTCTCCTTGCCAATCGATCTCGGATGGACAAATAAACACCCTCTCAGAGAGAGATTTGGAAGGATAAATGCAAAGAGGTTGAGCCACTTTACAATAAAATATTGACCACTATCATTCTAAACACCGCAACACACCTCGCCTAAACCCATGACTTTTTATAGGTAGAGAAGGAAAGAAGGAATGAAGAGAGAAAGAAAGAAACTGTGGTGGCAGTAGACATGAAAACAGAGGGAGCTGATTGCAAGTAAAATCTTTTCAGGATTAGTTGAGAAATAATGAATATTTCCTTTGCCCCCCCTCTACGTTAAAGTAAAACGTTTTAAAATCTAACAAACCTTTAAATAATGTTTCATTTAATATGAGAACTTCAAGGTTGACTTCAAAGTTGCAACCCCACGTCTCTCTATAGCATTTGAAGACTCTCCAACGTGGGAACTTTAAAAGTAGTTTTTTTTGGGGGGGGGGCTTGATCTGTCTCACAAATATGACTTAAAAGGAATGATCACCAATTCAGTTTCAATTCGGAGTGTGAAGCACAAGGTGTAAAAAAAAGGAGGACATGACGTTGCTGTGGCAAAATGTTTAAAACGTGAGATTTCATCAATCCCACAAGGTAATTTATTATAGTGCAGTAACCAGGCAGTGTGCGAGAGAGAGACAGCGAAAGAGGGATTGGAAAGGGATAGTCTAGGCCAACTGGAGAGAAAGGGCTGGTGTCACACATTTTAGCGGTTAGAGATGGGTGACTTTTAAGGGGACGTGTGTCCCCCACCCTACCCTCCACGCCTGCCCCCCCCCCGTTCCAAGCCTGGTTGGCAATTTAGCTGAGCTGCGTAATTTCGCAGCCCACTCCAAATTATAAATAAAAACAGAGTCCCCACTCCACCTTAGTGTACATGGAACCCCATTAGGTCTTCCCCCACAACTAAACCTACAAAAGAAAATTCGGTGGTGGGTGTGGGTTTTTATGCGCGCGCGGGGGGGGGGAGATATTTCAAAATGGCAACTAGACCCGAGGTTGGTTTGAGCTTTAGCTAACGTTAAGAAGCTCTCTGACCAAGTTTGCTTCAAAACGGCCATCCTGGAGATCTCTATGGCTCAGGCCCTTGCGATCCAGGTCTGGAGAGTAGCAAAGTGAGCAGTGACTGGAGAAGTGGGTGTAAAAACCAGGGGGGGGGTTGCCGGTGGCTGAGGAGACCTGCTGCTGTAAACTTCATTTTGGATGCTCCTCTTGAATTTGCTCTAATTGCTGTGTCCTCTTGTGTGTTGCTTTGGTGACTCTTGTATTTTTCTTTCAGACACCCCCTCTTCCCCCTCTTAGCACTGATTTTTGAGAAATGTGAATTAGCGACATGCACTCCCCGGGAACCCGGGGTGGCGGGCGGCGATGTTTGCTCCTCAGAGTCTTTCAACGAAGACATAGCAGTGTTTGCCAAACAGGTCAGAAAACAAGTCTCAATGCAAATCTCTTGCACTTTCCCTCCTGTACTGTTCCAAATGTCTGGTGATGACGAGAGTAATAGCAGCAGCAGCAGTAATAGCACTAATAAAGTGACAAGGCTAGAATGCATTGGAACTGTTATCCCTTGTCACACACGCCCCCTCCCCGGAATGGATCGCAAGCCTCCGGCCTCAGGTTCCTCCCCACATTGACTCGGGGGCGAGCCTCGGAGGTTTTCTGCCCTCTGCCCGCCACCTTGCAAAGGAGCCTGCTTCAGGCTTTTGGACCAAGGCGCAGCTGACGCTCGAAAGCCTCTGCTTGGCGTGGCGAAAGTGCTGCTGGCTTCAGCCCCCGAAAGTATTCCCGGTGCCTTCGCTTCGCTTCCCTAAGCGGGTGCCTTCCTAATCCCGCACTCGGGGGCTTTGCATGAAAGATTGCATAAAGGGTGCTGTGTTCGTGAAGAATCCTAGCGATGCGACCCCCTACCCACTCCCCCTTTTGCTTTTTTGGAAACACTCGGTGCAGAGAAGGGAGCGAGCCCCCCTCTGCATGCTAACCAGGAAAAGAAAGAATATTTCCCAGGGATATTGACAGACGTGAAGACGAGTTCACACAGACATCGCCTACTCCAAAACAGAATAGAAAGCAGCATTTCATAGCTTTAAAAAAGCCCAAAAAGAAAGCCCCCCTCTCTCTTTTCTCGAAGGGTGGGCGACACTTTCTATTATTAGATGAAATCCTAACACAGGGCAAGGGATCACTTTCTAAACTGATCAACTTCGCTTCTCTGTAAAAGAAGCCGAAGTGGCTTTTTTGGGAGGAGGCGCTCCCGGCAGATCGAAGCTCCCTGCCGATCGATTATTTGATAATTGATTTCCCCCTCAACCAATGCACGCCCGGCTTTCGAAAAGACGATCCTGATTGGACTACAGCTCCTCCACTGCTGCCTTCTGAGATTTGGGTGAGCTCATTCTCTATCCTACGGCGGGGGAGATCTCCCCCCCCCCTTCTGTAGGGTTTTCGAAGCTTGGGAAGGGAATGGAGGGGAGTCGGTGGGGGCGGGGAAACCCTGCCTGGCGGAGATCTCGGCTCTGGGGGGGAAAGATGTAGCAGTTTGGAGACAACTCCTTGCGCAAACGCCTCGCCTCGGACGGCGGAGGTGCAATTCCAGCCAAGCTGGCTAGTTTGAGAAGAAGCCCTAATAGGGCTTTCTTCTCCCTGAACTCCGCTTCCTTTTGTATTGGCTTGCGAGAGGGAGAAAGGGGGACGCGTAAAAGTCCTGCAATTCCAAGGCGCCAGGCAGAGGTTCGCTTTTACAGAGCGAAGAGTAAATAGAAATTAATCACTTTCTTTCTAGACAAAGGAAATGGCCACTAGCTTCGGAGGTTGCTAACAGTGTAGTGAGGGGTCGCTGCTGGATTGTGCACCAGACACAGCCGTGTGTGTGTGTGTGTGTGTGTGTGTGTGTTTTCGTCTTCCCTCCAGAACTGACCTCGGTCCCTTTTGGTGAGCCTAAGCAGGCAGACGACCAGCGTCTCTTAAGTCACAAAAACAGATCACTAACCTGCCTGGGAACTAATTCAGAGAAAAGAAAGAAAGGAAAGGGGTGGTGTGGTGTGGTGTGGTGTGGAGGGGCTGCAAAACGTCGGCGTGAAGCGGGAGAGAGAGGGAAAGGAGGATTCGCGCACAAAAGAAAACACCCACCTACCCACCCACCCACACATCTCCAAGGAAGGCCGCACTGGGCTGGATGTAGAGAAACCCCCCCAGCCTCGGCAACCGGAGCGAGCCCTTTCCCCCTCGTCTCTCCCCCGGTCTGAGCGAGTCGGGAGGCAGCGAAGGCGAATCTGGAAGGGAAGGGGAGCTGCTGGTGGTGGAGATCTTCCGACGATCAGGGCAGGAGGAACCGCGCGCTCCCAGGCTCCAGTCATTGTTCGCTCCTCTCCGCCAGCGCGCTCGCCTCCGTGTGTGTGTGTGTGTGTGTGTGTGTGTGTTGTTGTTAATGGGGAAGCCTCTGCTCGCCGCTCTTCCCTTGCCTTGCGGCTCACCCAACCCACCCCTGCGCTGCGAGCGTAGTTGATGCAGCCCGCTGCATTGTGTAAGACGCGACCTGTTATGGCCACCACTACTTCCGGGTTCCAGCATTCTGGTCCAATTCCACCTCTCCGCCTGGGTGCAACGCGCACTTTACACACGCACGGGAGACTTGCAGCAGGCAGCATCGATCGTGGCTCCTTTAAGACAAACTCAGACAGCCGCCTTTTCTTTTCTTTTTCCCCCCTTTTTCTTTTCTTTCTTTCTTTTTTTCTTCCAAAAAACCTTCTCTTCCTCTAGGCTTCTCCAGTTGCACGGAGGGAAGAGAGAAAATCTGATTAGGAATCAGGACTGAATCAAGCGAGGGAGAAAGAGAAAGGGGAAGAGGAGGAGGAAGAGGAGGAGGAGGAGGAGAAGGAGGAGGAAAAGAGAAAGAAAGCTTTTAGAGCTCATATGCTTTTGATGTTAACATTTGAGGTGTCCTGACCACTGGAAGCACACACGGAGGATTCTCAGCATTCATTCACCACCTTTGACAACCTCTCCTTTGATTGACAGCTGGAGTGGCAAAAAGTCATGCGAGTTGGTAGTTGGGTTTGAGAGGCACTTTTTATTTTTATTTTTTATTTTCTTCCCCCCCCAAAAAAAACCCCACAAAACTGATTTGGGGGAAAAGGATATTTTGCTTTCTCCCCGTCGCTGTCTTGGAAACCCAAAGGGAAGAGTGTGAGCGACGCGGGAAAAGGAAGGAAGGAAGGAAGGAAGGAAAAGAAGAGGAGAGAGACGCTTCTTGTTTTCTTTTTTCTTTTTTTTAAATGCTGAATGATCGCGCCGCTTCTCTGAGGTCCCTCCGGCTGAAGACTCTGGTCGGCTGCTCAAGCTACTGGCGACTTTAAAGGATTCTTTTTCCTTTTATTTTGGGGGGTGGGTGGGTGGGGGAGAGCACGTTTTGTTTCTTTTCACGCTGGCCTTAAAGAGGATATATTAGAAGTTGAAAGGGAAGGGGTGCGAAGCAGGCCGATGGCGCAAAGGGTATGTATTATTACTTTTAATTCGTGATTTCCGAGTAACATAACATTGAAACGTGGATCTTAGAGACACTGCGAGGAGGGGGGGAGTTTTGTATACTCTTAGAAACACACACGAGGGAGCGTGTAAAGCCTATCACTGTTTTGAAAGGAGCATGTTTTTTTAACTGTGCATGTCCAACATGCAGGCAGGTATGAGATGCACTGGAGACCTTGTTCCCATTTATTCGTAATATTAATTCATACCACAGGCCACCTACTAGAAGGAGACGCTGACTACACCAGCAGCCTCGAAACTGAATGCAGTTCCTTTTAATATTCAGTTTCTGTGTCTCTCAAAGTAATCAAGGTACCTAATAATATGCCTTTGGACCTTTAGGATATGGTAATAATATCTTTACAATTAATAAAGAACTTGTTTAAAATAACATTACTGTAAATGGAGGGGGGGCAATCAGAGCAGTCCATACATTCCAACCAAGATGTTGTTTTGAACACATTTTCATATGTAATGATGAGTCCAGATAACAGTTACACGCACTTGTGTTCCTAACATTACTATTTATTATTTATTTTATTAAATGGACACCATCACTCCGCCGAAAAAGTTTACCAGTTTAGGAAGACTGTTGATAGTGACAAGAATAATGCAACCAAGAGGGCATTTAAAAGGAAATTTAACCTTTCGAATACATTTTCTGGCACACTTTTGGCAATGCCCCTCTCACACCACAGTTGGAAAAAGAAAGTTAGTCCACTGATCCTTTTGCATTTACTTTTTCAGTTTAAGCAGCTGGAAGGACCTCCTCCCCAAATTCTCCACACCCTCATTTGTCAATTAATTTGTCAATTAATTAGATATTGAAATGGCAGAGTGACCTCCCCCCCCCACCTCACTAACACAGCTTCCCCCCCCCCCCCAGGAACAAAAAAATCTTGTTTTTTGGGCACCTGGTTCTAAAGAGGAAATACTAAGCTGAGCTTCCCAGAATAAATGCTAAGAAAAGCAGTCGATGGATTTTTGAAAGTAGTCAGAGCTGGAGAATCCTAAACAAACTATTAAATGAATTCCTCCCTCCCTTAAAGAAAATCCTGGTTTTAGCTTTGTCACACAAACACCTGAAGCCTGATTTTTGTGTATGTGACTCCTCAAAAGTGGTAAACTTTAGGACAGGATAAGCTCGGATGAATTAATTCTTTAAAATACTCTCTGTCAGTTGTGCAAAAGACTAACTTTTGTCCCACCGCCCCACCCCCACCCCTGAAAACACAGCCCCAAAGAAACTTGCTTGAAATAGTGATTCTAAATGGGCTATTTCTATTTTTGTGCTCCTGTACCTTCCTGAATCTTTTCAAACATCAGGGAAGGTCTGCCACTTGAGGCTTCTGGCAGGCACAACCGATGCCCACAGGGAAATCTCACAAAAAATAAAGGGAGGTTGTTTTAATGCACGTGTTAATAATAGGTGTCCTCATCTTAACTTCTGCTGAGAAAACGTAGAGGAGGCGGCATCTTTCCAGCATGCATTTATGTGGAGCTGGACTCCAGAGAAGTCCTCCATCCTCCAGTTAACTTTTTCATTTCCACGAGGACGCTGTGCCAGGAGCCCAGGAGGAAAGTACTGCGAAGGCCTAGTGGAAAATGCATTGGAGACTGGACCCAAGACCAAAGAAACAAAAATAGAACCCCCCAAACCAAACCAAACCGCAGGGAAAACTTCTTTCACTTTTTTTTAAAAAAAGACGCGGCCTTCCCGGTCCCTTATGTTTCGCCATCTTCCTCCCCAAGTGACAGAGTGGATCTTCTGCACGCCTTGGTTCCCACTCTCCTCGCACCCACCCCAGCACACGAAGTTGCTTCCCCCCCCCCTTTAAACTGCACTGCGAAGGACTGGCCTTCAAGCTGACCCTTTTCTTTTCCCTCCTGTCTATTATGCAGTACGACGATTTACCCCATTACGGTGGGATGGATGGAGTGGGGATCCCGAGCACCATGTACGGGGACCCCCATGCCGCCAGATCCATGCAGCCCGTCCACCACATGAATCACGGTCCTCCGCTTCACTCCCATCAATACCCGCACACAGCTCACACCAACGCCATGCCCCCAAGCATGGGCTCCTCCGTCAATGACGCTTTAAAGAGAGATAAAGATGCCATTTATGGGTAGGTACAGCTAGCATCAGGTTCATTAGCTTAAGACGTGCTCGTTCCCCGTTCTTCCCCTCCCTGAAGAAAGCCACCGTTTACTCGAGGCCGTAGGTAAATAATCCGGGGCAGCCGAGGCTTTGCATGGGGATGACGGACCAGGGGGGGCGGCGGGTTGATTTCAGTGCCTCTCCTTGCCAATCGGTCTCGGATGGACAAATAAACACCCTCTCAG